TAGCCTATAGCTCCGCAATAAATATAGAGATAATTAGCATAATATTATTAGAGTTTAGCAGGTGTTACCCAACGGGCATAAAGGGTATTATTACCGGGCTTAGCTACTCTAGCTGCTGTTAGAGTCCAGTCTATAGCATCGGTGTTAGATGCTAGCTAGGGAAAAGCTATTCGCGGTGCGACGTATAAGTGGTTAGTGCAGCTCTTCTTTATCTTCTGGACCTAATAGATATTATTTTCTACTTGGATTAGTTATTGCTTATATACCTCCTACTTAGTATAGTATTTAATTCCTATAAGGCCTTCTTAGAGGTCCGGGTTAATAGCTAGGTTAAGGAAGGCTATTTTTAAACTTTATACCTATATATTTCCTTTAGCTTCTAGTAAAAGCTTTTTAAACTTGCTTAGGAAGCTTCTAAAGGGTTTTTTATACTGCTTTATTTAACTAAGAAACTATAATTCTTTTTTTTTTACTGCAGGGTTTTAGAAGGTGTTCCTTATTTTAATAAAAAATATATTCTTACTAACAGGTTAGTTCTTAGCCCTTATAGTATATTACAACCCGTAATACAAACCACCCGAGCGCAGCGGCACTCGCGGAGACAAGTAAGCAGATAAAACTGATTATGCAGAACCAGGTCACGGGACTAAGAGGGTCACGTGTAGGACGCATAGGGATCCTGGATTCCCCCACGGACTGCTGGTGGATGGGAACGATCTAAGAATAGGACATCACGAGGACAGGGTCACGTGATGGCTCGTCAGGCTCGCGGAGAGAAGTAAGCATAGAGCCGAACGAGCGCTCGTCGGGCTCGAGGCGCTCGAGGGCTGCGAGCTCTGAGAGCAGGACGAGCAAAGAGGTTTCTTAGGACGGAGCTTTCATATAAAGGGACGCTCCTTTGCATAGATAGGAACCTCGTGTTCAACTTAAGACTTCAATACTACCTATTGGAAGTAACAACCCCGTCTTAGATCTTGATTGATTATTGCCTCACCTTTTGAAGACTATTGCACCCCGACGACGACTTGCCTATACCCTGCCTTAGTGTGAGACACTTAGAAGGTATAGAAGAGACGACCCGTTATATAGTAGTTAGCTAAGGAAGTATATACTAGGCAGCCGTGCCTTCTAGTCGGCTAAATATATAGCTAATATAATTAGTATTGCTTTCTAGAGCTACTGTATTAACTTATAGCTTATTCTAGAGCTTAGTTTTAAATATATTATATTTAGTAGGTTTAGAGTAGTTATATAACTATATATTAGGTATAATACACCGTAGATAATAAACGGACGTGTTTGCGGGTTCTGCCGTAAATTGCGGGGCTTTATTTTAGACGTAGGAGCTCTAAAGCTATAGAAGATTAGGTGCTATAATTCTATAGATTATTTCCTTAAGGTGTTGCTAAGTTTACTATTACTAGTTAAGCGTTTATTAAGCAAAGCTTTTGAATTAGCTATTAAGCCAAGTTTATATTTCCAGGATTCTCTTATTATAGAGTTGTTCTACAGTTAGATTGCTATTTATTCTACTGCTACTGCTAGTAGAAGTAAATAAGGTGGCTTTTAGGGCTTAAGGAGCTTAATTAACAGGTCCCGGTATTCTAAATGCTTTATATAGCTTATTTCCAGGTGGACTCTAAACTTAAATGGGGCCCGCATATACGCATCACAAAGGAAAAGGCTATAGCACAGATGGGAGCCCTTACACGGCTAACGGCATCAACATAGAGCGCAAGCTTCCAAAAAGCACGGCATATATACTCAGCAGTTATCAGGCCGGTCCTTACGTATGGGTGCACCACCTGGTTTCCAACGCCAGGCATGAAGGAACAAATCAGCAAAGCGAAGATTAAACAACTTAAAACGGCCCAGAACTACTTCCTCCGTGCTATCGCAGGGGCGTACAAGACAACAGACATCAAGACGCTTGAACACGAGACCTCTTGCCCCCCCCTAAGGCTTAAGCTAGAGGAACTCGCGGTGGCGTACGCGGACCGCACGCGCGCGGGCCAGGCTAGAGAGCATATTGAGACCACGTGCCGCACTATCAGAGACACCATTAGGAGACACTATAAGCCTAGGAAAACGCCTAAATACGAGCCGAGCCGGCGTGACGTACTGAAGAGGCTCGCGGTTAAGGCCACAGCACTAGCCCCGAGGTACGAAGGGCAGTCAGATAACTTGTATAAGCTCTTAAGACGAGGAGCAATACAGGAAGCGTACGAGGAAAGGTGGAGGGACGAATAGGAGGCCCACAGGAAGAAACGAAGGGGCCCCCCTACGCCGGCCCTTAACACGAAATGGAACAAGAATCAGGCAACCAAACACCATAAGCTTACAAAAGCAGAAAGCTCAATTATCACGCTCTTACGAACAGAACACATAGGGCTTAACGCATACCTGCACCGCATGAGGGTGCCCAATCACCCTTCGCCCGCGTGCCCCTGCGGGCATATACCACAGTCTCCAAAGCACGTAGTAATGCACTGTGAACGACACCGCAACGGCAGAGGCGATATGTTCTTTAAGGCCAGAACAAGAACGTATATGCAGCTGTACAAAGACCACAAGGGAAATAAGGCCGTTTCGCAATGGTTCCTGCACTAGACAGACCTCCTACCCTACCTCTCTATAGCTAGAGAGATGGCAACGGAAAAGCTGGCTATACAGCCAGCCGACTCGTATAGCCACGCCCCAAGAACAGAACTACATGCACGCACGCACATTGCATAACCACAGGCACGCCCGCAACAGGGCAACCCCCCCAATTTCCTATTGTCCTTCAATTCAATACCTTGGCTTTTGAGAAAAAGGGCACGCGCGTACGGCAAGGGCACGCGCGCCCTAACGCGGACCCCGGACCTTACTAACCTTCTGGACACCGTACAACCCTGGAACCTAGGGCCTACGGACACCGGATCGATCCTGGAGAATGCATCAAGATGGCTTACTCCGTGGCGATGCTCACAGAGCTGCCACGCGTCCCCCACAGCCGCGCAGAAACAAAAGGAACGCAAGGCGTTATACACTGTAGAAAACAAGGTTTTCACCCGACCGCTATAGAGCGAACGGTTTCCCCTTGTAAATAAAACCTAGATAGCACTGCCGCATGGACCCTAACGGGAGCTAAATCGGCCTAATAGAACCTAATAATAATAATAATATAGCTTATTTAATAGATAATAATAATATAGCTTATTTAATAGATAAGATTAATTATTGCCTATATTAATATTAAAGGGAGGGTTAGTGGCTATTAAGAAAAGAGGTACTTATACCGCGTAAGCAGTTGTATAAGGGAGAAAGGGATAAACAAATAAATTCTAATATAAGGGCCGTAGGCCTGAAACAATAGATTGTATTAGGTATAAGAAGAATTTATTAAAGATCTAAACTACAAACACACGCTGCCTATATACCTTATTATTAAGAGAGTAATATAACTGTCCTATCCTCCTCCGTATAGTATCGCCGTGCTGTATTATCGTGCTTGTGCTGTAATACCGCGCTGTATTGTCGTGCCGCAATGTAAAGAAGGCTCTGTAGAAGGCTACGTTGAAACGGAACGGATGCGTAGCTAATTAAGCAGCTGTTCGAGCAGCTAGGTTGTAAGAACACGTATTAGTGTACGGTTTAATAAATTGGACAGGGCGGGGCAGCCTAGCCGATTCCTAGAAATAGAGGTTCAATCTTAGAATAGGTCCTGGTGACGGCTTGTAAAACAAAACGGGTACATGGAACGGAACGGATGGAATAAGGCGTTGCAAATTAGACAGAGTGGAACGGCCTGGCCAGTTTTAGTATAGAATTCAAGTTCCTAGAATAGAACTGATTCTATGCTAAGTTCGTGAAACCGGCAGGCTGCACGAGTTGGGTAGGCTATACGTATCGGCACTGCGTTGGTTCGAATTAACGTGAGGAACGAGCCGAGCCTTATAAGGTAGTTAATGAGAAGAGGAATATATACAGGGCGTAGCCCGTGACACAATATCCTAATACTAATACTTAGCTCTACCTTACTAACTATATATTAACAGCATAGAAGAAGTGCAAAAAATACTACCTTAAAGCTAATACTAAGTTGCCTGCCTACTATACTACTATACTTTTTAACCTATAGATTAAAGGCCTCTAGTTTAAAAAGGCCTGGCAAGATTACAACTCTAAATAAAGCTATATTTAACCTGTTCTTAATACTGTTAACAGATACTAGCAGGAGTGCTACCGCGGTTAATTCTTGCACGTTGCATTGTCCACTTCCTTAGAGCCTATTCCAGCACCTCCTTTGCAAGCAGCACTGCTGTACACGTTGGCCCGCAAGCATAAACGCCTTAAATAAATATATCCTCTAAGCGCCGCACCGGCTACTAACTTCTATAAACAGTATATTAAATTAGCTGTCCTTTTGTGTAAGGCTATGCTTAAGGGCAAGGTTAATAGCGTCCTTAGCTCTATAGGTAATCAGCTGCTTGGCGTTAAGGAGACTATTTAGTAGTGGAACAACAGATACTATACTTAGCCAGATCTCGCCCGGTTTGCCCTGGACATCCTTGCAGTTCCGCCAATATCTAACAACTGCAAAAGACTGTTTAGCGGGGCATCTATCCTGCTTAACAAGCGTCGCCGGCGCCTTAGAATAGATATAATTGAGGCTAACAAGTGTCTACGCTGTTTGTTCACGCCTACTGAGGACATCTACAACAACCCTGAGCTTGCATACGCCCACGGCGCGCCTAGCGCACCACGACGATATACAACCCTTCGCGAGCAGGCAGATGCACGGCTGGCAGCTTCACTAGCAGCAGAGGAGGCCTATCACGTTAATGACGACCTATCAGCAGAACAGCAGCGCCGTGAGGCTGCTGAGGAAGCAGTTATAGATGGCGCAATAAACCTGGATTCAGATGAGGACGAGGATAAGGAAAACGGGCAGGCTGCATGACGCGCTGCACGACGCGCTGCACGACGCGCTGCACGACGCGCTGGACGTCACGTGCGGCGATGGTAAGTTCAACCTCAACACCAAAAACTACCTCGCGCTAACTACTATAGGTAATATGGAGCTCCTGGAGCTCCTGGAGCTCCACGAGCTTTCTGCTGGACTGGAGTGGAGCGATTTCCAAATCCACTCCACTCCACTCCAACAAGATCACTGCAGAGCTACTCATCCATGTTAGTATCGTTAGTACGTCGCTTTCCAAGAGGCCGTTGGGAACTATTAGGGCGTTTGACCGGGACTCTGTATTCCGCAAGTTCCCGAGTAGAACTATCAGATTCCTCCTCTTCATCCAGCAACGCCTGGGATTCCAGATTTATGGTGTAGCCCTCTGCATCCGACACTGCAGTCACGAAACTTGAAGCTGGGCTGGCACTTGATGCATCACCTGCTGGATCACCTGCTGGATCACCTGCTGGATCACCTGCTAGATCACCTGCTGCTACTGATGCTTCAACTTCAATAGGGTTAGCTCTCTTGTTCGCTTGTTGAATCGCCTTATCCCTCTTCTCTTTTGCCCAGTCCCTTCCATTTCTGTACGCAGTGGCTCCCAGCCGGAATGTTTCTAGATCGCTGGTCATAGACTATCCCTTGAATTGATTTGTAAAATATTCTGGACAACCCTCGGGTTTACTTAGCTGCGCAGTAGGGTGGCTAGTGTATAGCTTAAGCGTACCGTCGAGATAAGTTAACAAACCGGGACCGGCAGCTAGCGCTCTAGAAGAAATGCCCTCGCTGCATACCCTTGCCACTGGATAGCTCCTCACTCAAGATTTGGAGCGATGAAGCCCCATGGCTCTAGCTTCAGACTCTGTCATTGTTTGCATGTACTCGCTCACATAGGTTACTCCACGAACACCGATCCAAGACCCAGCTCTTTCCAGCCCCAGCAACAATCCTGTTAGTCTAACGCGAGCACTACCCCTAGCGGCACCTCCTCAACTGCACGCAAGGCGGAAACCCGTCTACTACATCCCTCGCTTCAACAGATGAAAGAATAACATAAACAATGCTTCTCCGAACGCCAAAAGTTAGAAGTGGGTTATATTCCGTGGGTTATCCGAGGATTTCAGTCGAAACCGGGTTTCAAACAGTTCTTCGGGTTGTGTCCACCCTAATCGACTCTTCTTATTTCTCACTCCTGACTCCCACATCTGTTGCTTACTAACAATCGCCGTTGGAAATAAGGATACCCAAGCCATTGGCCCGTCTTTGTCCGAATAGATTTGTCCGTTCATCCGCTTGGCCCAACCTATGTCGTTGGTCCCGTCGAGTTTGAGATGTTGCCTTCCCCAGCACTCGGATACGTTCGTTCCATCGACAACGTCGCACAAGGCAACGGTGTTGTTGGTGTCCAGGAAGCTTTGAATCAAGACAGGCAGGGTGGGATACGGTAGGCCATTGCTGCGTTGAATTGTAGATTCGCTGCATCGAATATGTGCATCATGTGAAGGTACTAGAATAAAACTAAAGTCTGCATCTTTTCCGCTGAATCGGGGATACGTGTGTGAGAGGGAGGCCGGCTGCGGTAGCCTACGCTGGGCGGGGGTGTACATAGAAACAAATTCATTGGAAAGTAGGCTAACAGCATCTTTGACCCTATCCGAAGGAATGCATATCTCCCAGTCCTTTGGACGTTAGTTAAGCAATCGTGGTGGGCACGGCAGACAAACATGTTGGATGCGTTCAGCTCCATAAAACACGAGAGCCGAAACCCCGACCAAGCAGCAGATGATTCTATGCTTCTCAAAGATTTGAATAATCTGTATGACTTCGTGAGTCGCACGGCCGCCAGAAGAGGCTCGCTGGAGATTGACGATGTCAGGCCGAAGAGTTGCAGAAACGGTGTTTGACATATCGCGGTGTATCTGATTGCTGAGAGTCAGGTGGATCAATTGGAGCCTCTGTGATAGAGAAATGGAGAAGGACGTATTTGCGGTGTGGTGGGGGACGTCCAACTTTAAAGCGGACGCCATGCCTTGGCAGACCGTATGCCAACTATTGGTTTAGATTTCATTGGTGTACTCATCCATGGTAGTGGCATCGGAACTGTCGACTAGGCCCGAGCAATTCTGGGCTTCGTGGTCTTCGGGCTGGTCTGCGTTCAGCATCGTCGGAGTATCGAGCTGAGTAGGTGGGAAGCATTCTGCCATTTGTCGCCGCCTTTGTCCACCACATTGCACCGTCGTCTCCATCGCGGCCAACAAACATTCATGCGACCACCTACACTTGTACGCTTAGCACGCGTCGATTTCATGCAACGGAAACGTGCGCGCTCAGAAGGTGACGATCAAGCCGGCAGGTCGCGTCTCAAGCAACAGGCTCGCCATCCCGAAGGTCTCGGTCGCCGGAGAAGAGCACAACGGCCGATAAGATGGATTTCAAGGAAAAACTACAGTTCTTCAGCATTTTCTACGAAGAGCGGGCTCCAATTCCAAGCATACTTGAACAACACATATCAAATCTCCGAAAGCCGCGGCAAGTTTCATCGCCAAACGCGAAGCATATTCAAGAGATGGTGCCCGTGGCACGGTCCGAACAGGATGGCATCGATGTACTGGAAGAGGTGTTGCTCTTAGCGCCTGCTAGTAAAGGGGGTATGCCGTGCGTTGAACGCGCTGCGAAGCCGAATCTCAGTCCGTATTTCTCGCCGCTGGCTACGAGTTTCGTGGCTGGGAGGGTGCGCCTTGAAACGTCGCAGCCAGATCATTGTTTTGGGTATCTTCCTTCGAAAAAGGCGAGGCCGGCGAGATTGAAGGCGTCATTTACGATTGAGGAAGAGAATATAATGAATAGGTACGTGACAGCACCTCATGCACTCTGCCGCACCTGCAACTACAGCTCGGCCTCATCGACAATTACCAACATTACTAACACCTTGAATTGGGCAGATTCACATTGACCACAGAACTCTACTTTCCGTTCTTCACCGCCCGATGGAAGAGCCCCGCACAAGAACAAACGCACCACTAAGCCATTCCACACGGTGCCTGCGACGGATCTACGATAGTCAACTACCTTCATCGATTCTATGTCACTGCACGACCAACCCAAGCACCCAGCCTTGTTGAGACATGCCATTTCTCTGCCACAATAGACATGCGATCGATTATACTGTGGGTGCATTGGCGGGAACAGGATGAGAACGGAAATGTCAGCTATCGCATGGAGCAGGTTGAGTCTGGGATGCTAGATAAAGAAAGGGACAACAAGGAGATTCGGACGATACTCCGGAACCTGCAGGACCATGCGCTGGGGGACCGATTGCGGGGGATCAAGGAGCTGCTCCCAGCATTTTGGGAGCACTTGGCGAAACCGAGGCCGGTACAGACGGCCATTGTGGTGAGCTCGCCGTCAGGAATGGAGAATGTTCCTGTGTTGCAGCCGCCAACGCCATTGTCCGATACGTTGGAACCTGTGCGGAAGAGGAGGAGGGAAGAAGAATGAATAGATATCAGCAGATGCGTGCAGCTGTCACTTCCAAGGCATACAGTACACGACGTTACCAGTGCCCATTGCGTCGTTGCCAGATCCCAGCATAGGACGCAACCAGAGAAGGCAAGTATACAAGGTTCGCCCTACGCAGGCTCAGCTGCGGGAAAATACAATGAGGAGCGGTGTAGGAACGAGACGATGAATGAAAGCTGCAGACATTGAATGGAGTAGCTGTGATTGAAGGCAAGTGTGCAACCTCAGCCTCGAGCGTGACCAGCTCTCTATATCACTCTAGTCCTCTCGCACCTTCCAGGGTCCGAGCATTAATTGCATATGCCGTCTTTTAGCATTTTGGTGTCACTCCCCCTGCGCTTACGTAACCAGATAGTGCACCTGGCGTCGCCCCTTGTACATATATCAACTGCGCACTCGTAATGCATCAACACCACATCCTCTACATCACCACCCCACGTCCTCTACATCACCGCCTCACCACCATGCCCCCCCCCCCGGGGCCGCCACGCGTCCGTAGAGGAAGGTATGAAGTCTATTAATGCATGGGCCAAGCAGGAGGGCTATGCAATCATCAAATACAGGAACGAAATGGACAAGCGCACGCCCCTTAGTGTGCGCAAGGTGTTTGTTCAATGCGAGTATGGAGGAGTCAACACGCCAGCTAATAAGAAGCGCCATACCCGTTCGAAGAAGTCCAACTGCCTTATGAAAGGAGCCTTCACCAGAGACCTACAGCTAGGTGATTGATTATTTGAGGTTGAGGTTTCTGTTCACAGTCACGAGCCGTACAACGCCGACGATGGGACTCTCGCTATACACCGAGATCTTGATGAGCAGAAGAACATCGCCAGCAAGGCTATAGCTATCTGGAAGGACGATGAGCGAGCAGCAACTGATGCTATAGATCTACAGAATGTAGCACGTGCCCCTCAAGATCTAACAACAGCTGGGATTGAGGCTATGCAGAAAGATCGAAAGAAATTCCTCGACAAGCTCAACTTCTGCCTGGCAAAACCTACAGAGGATGAGTTTGTGGCCGCTTGGAACAAACTGGAATCAGATTATGCGGACAAACAACTCCTGATTGGTTACCTCACTAAAGAGTTGTGGCTATATAGAGAGGAGATTGCTACGCGCCATACTAGCCTTCTGCCGCACTTTGAAACCGATCCAGACAGCACAAAAATACTGTGGAGAAGTGTTATGGCGAAGACGAAGGGTGGTAGGATGTCGCAGATACCGGTGCCAACCGTGTCAGGCAGCCGGTCGACGTGCTTGGAACCCCTCTCGTGTGGGCCGGGCCACACTCATTTCCGATCCATGGTGCTTGCTCCCCGAGGCATCCACATCGACGAAGAGAACTTCTACGTCACCGCTTTCTACCATTTCGACACGACTCCACTCGGGCTGTAACAGCTACAACCTAGGATCAACAACTCATACGGCTCACGGTCACCTACGTACAGGCACTCCCCCCCTTCTCTCCCCTTAATTCTCGTTCTTCTTCATTGATTGGTTGCTGCTAACGCGCACTCAGCGTGGCGAGGTCCTCTGTTCAGCTACAACAGGTTTCTCTCAGCTGGGTTCGTTCCTTTCAGCTGGCCTCTATTCAGCGGAGCTGATAAGACCTAGGGGGTGGGCCATTTCCTATTAGTATATATTCGGCCCGTACGGCCACTACAATACAAGCAGAGTTCACATCAATTTTCAACCTGAGTACTCCGCCGCTCGAGGACACGCCTCGTTCGTTGCACTACAAGACTCAGGACGCTTTGAGCGAAACTAAGCTCTGGCTAGATGGGACAAATAACTTCATCAACAACTTGAAGAACGAATACACCGTCCTGACGTTTTATTGGAACTCCGAGGCAGAATTCGCCGACGTCGGCCAGCAGTTACTGCTATTGAAGGAACCGCGGCGGATGAACAGGAATACTAGGGGCAAATTTGTGCCAGAGCGGTGTTTGCAGGAGCGATTAAAGCCCACTGGTGAGCTATGGGTGGAACCTCCCATAACCCAACCCAATATGCCTACCCGGAGCTATACATTCGACATCCGACCCGATTGTTCCTATTGGGTGTCTCTTGCCGGCTTCAGCTTGAAATGGAGCTATGCCGTGGAGTCGATCGTGTCAATACACCGCGACAGGCAAGGTCTCCTGTGTCCGTACCTAACCGTTGAATTTAAAAAGGACGCTTCCACCATGACCAACACAATAGACCAAGTTGCGACAGCTGGGTCTCTAGCCCTCTACAACCGCTATTTACTCCGCAAGGAACACCTCGACAAAGTCGGCAAGGGATACACTGAGAAGAAGTGGAGAGTCGTCCGGCGCTATGGTCTTACGTTTGAGGGATCGAAATTCAAAATTTGGTGCATTGAACCGACAATCGATTACACCAATGGCACCTGGCACGGCTGCCGCATGGTAAAACTGTCCGCGGGCGAATGCACGGTTGGCGGGGGGTCAATCGAGAACTTAATTGATTGGCTTAATGAAGTTCATGCCTGGGGGCTTAAGGTGCATGGGCCGGCATGTATGTACGATGTCAAGGTTGTCTTATTGAGATCCAGGGGCGCGCCACGAACAAGTCTAACGGAGGAGGAATTAGAGAGATTAAGTAGTTTAGAATAAGGGGACTGATAATCTCACACCTCCCTAATTCCTCCACACACACCCCATTTTTGCTATTCGCACGCCCCCTTCCCCACCCCCCTATCGCTTCACCACCTTTTGATTAGCTCGGAGCAGCGCGGAGCTTCTCCGGGCATTTACATTTACGTCTCTCTGCACGTGATGCTATATGCAAGGCCGTACGTGAGCTTGTACGTGAGCTTGTACATGAGCTTGTACGCAAGCTCGTACATGAGGCTATACGTAAGGCTATACGAATCGGCATGGCTATACAGCCTCTCCGTTGTACGGCGCATCCTTTCCGATTCGTGCAGCCGTATATACAGCTGTACATGAGCTTGTACATAAGGCTACACGTGAGGCTATACAAATCGGCATAATGTGATTGCTTGCGTTGTACATGGCTGCATTTGGAGAGAGCATTCGGAATTAGTGAGCGAGTTAAGCGAGTGAATCGGAGGCTCCGGAGTAGCCTTCCAAGCCAATCAGAAGGTGGTGAAGCGACAAGGAGGCGGGAGGGGGTGTGCAGTGATCGTCGTTCAAGGAAGACATCAGCCTCATCGAGGAGGACAGCGCACGACCAGAACGATCGCTGGACCATAACGGTCGCAGGACCAGAATGATCGCAGGTCCAGAACGATCGCACGACCAATCGAGCGCCTCATGGTTTTCATCCATGACAAAATGGGTGGCGAACTCGTATACATGAAAGTCCTAGTCTAGTCATCAGGATGGGGCCATAAAACGCGGGGAGTTAGGCAAAGGCTGAGTATTCCGCCGCTGATATCTGACTGTTGTATGCGTGATATCGCTCCGGTTGTGCATTCCTCGTAATTTCGATGTACCTGCTGCCCTTTTCCCCGCAGATTGGTGGGGTCGAACCCGAAGTCTTTTTAAGCCATCCATAGATATCACAAGAGGGATACGTGGGTTCGTCCCGGGCGGAGTACTACGACGAGCCTGCGAATCAAAACGTAAGCATTTCGCTTCTTACAGATTGAGAGGATACATACATCGCGACGATCCCATAGCTCTTTGATAGATTGTGGCAGCTCAATTTCCCTTTTTTCCACCTCCATAAAAGCTCTGAACTCTATTATCGGGCTCAGAAGAGCGAGATGCTCACGCCTGGCCACTGTCCTCTTCTTCGGCGACGATGGTCTTGTAGGCGACTTTCCCTTCGAGCGTCACGGTAGGTGGGGGGAAGCTTGGCGCTTCCAAAACTGCATCACATTCCAACGCCGCGGACGTGGAGGCAGGCTCCTCAGGCGGTATATTCACATCGTCCTCTAGCACAGCGGCTACCCGCCCCCTCACTCTCTCGCTTTTGTGTGTCCTGCTCTGCGTGAATGGCTATCATCTCCAATCGCAGGCGTTCTCTGCGACTTCTGCCTTGTCGGCGACGCGCTTATTAGGCATGCATCTACGTCGTTTTCTGGATGTTGCGATTAGGAGTTGCTGTCTACTTCGCGCAGAATCGTGCTTCTACTACATTGTTGGCGTGCCGATGAACTATGTGTGTGCTGGGCCTCTAGCGCTGGGATGTCTAGAGGATTCTTGCTCGGATACTCGCTCGAGGTCAAGACGCGTGCAAACTCTTCCTATTCAGCACGGCATCCACGCCTTGCGATTGGCTTAAACTTCAGTACATCCTAGACGGAATTCCATATTCTAATTCCTCGCCAGAGAGACCTACATTACTTTATTTTCGGAGTCGGGTATTAATAGTTGCTCACTCAAGAACTGTCATGCATCCAGATGTCGCCGAGTAGACCAACGTCGTTCACCCGAGAGCTGTCATGTATCTCCTCATGCCCTATGCCAGTATTTAGCTGTCGTTTCGTTCAACCGAATAAAAAGATCTCACCTTGTGGCATGATTCAATTTGGCCCCCAGCCTGCGGGAATGCATCTTTCTCCGTGTTAGTACCGCTTTTAACAGCGTCATCATCAACAGTACTCACAAGGTAGCGTGCCTCCCTGACCACCAATATGTGCTTGGGCGTACTGTTGCATGCAGTCTGCTCCGCGTGCTGAGCTCGATTGAGAGTCAGGGACATCTGTGTTCAGCTCGCCTTGTCCTGTCATTGCGCGTCCTTGGTCGTTAAGAGACATCTGAAGTGTTTGTTGCGCTGAATCGGGACTCGCCGGCTGCTGGCTCTGATTGAGCGCGATCCGCCCCACTGGCCTCGGAACACTGAATGCATTCTCCTTGTACCCTATGCCAGTACTTAGCGGTCGTTCAGTTCAACCAAATAAAAAAGAAATCACCTCGTTGGCATGATTCGATTTGAGAATAGGGCATTGTAGTGGGGACTTGGCCCTCAGCCTGCTGGAATACATCTCCCTGGATGTTAGTATCAGTCTGTGTCGTGGAGTTGTCCGCTGAGCGTCCTCTGCTGATATCATGACTCGAGCGACTCCTCTTTGTACCTCGATCTGATTGGATTAGTTTGCTGCGGTCAGCAACTGTATATTAAAACTCCAGAGGAGGCGGAAGTACCTTCGCTTTCTACTGTTCCGCCCATCCTCCCATCTATCCCGTCCCATGACTCTCCTACCGTCTGAGAGGCACACAAACTGTGGAGTGAAGACTGCTCGTTCATGGTCTGTTTCCTCTTTTTCGAGACGACGCATGCATCTTTTATCCGAGTCGCTAGAGTGGACAGCTGCGTCCATTCGGAGTACTCCGGTAAAGTCTTAAGTATTGCTAGGAAGGAGAGGAACTTACGCATTTAAAGTATCCGCGTCTGCAAGCCCTATAAGCACCCCTAGGTTGATCCCACTCCACCATTTACCCTCGTAAACTTAATTACGGAAAACCTCCCGGTTATAGGGATCGCTATTGGAAAACCATTCGGATTCCATCTCTTGTAGAGCCGCTCTTAGATGCGTCTGACCGCGCTTCAAATTCCGTAAGTCTCGATTGTCAGCCTGCCAACATTCCACATGCTCCCAAAGTTTTACAGACAAGAATCGACCACATATTGCTGTGGTGGAACGCTTTTGGTTGATAGCGTCAAATAACTAAAGGATAATTGAGGTATTGTCGGACGATGAGATGCAAATGCCAGTCCAAAACAAGGAAGGATCCTTCTCGAAGCCAGCGACGAAGGTGGACGATTTCTTCTTCGCTTCTTCTCCGGACGGGATTTTCTTCGCTAAGGAGACGAGGGAACGAATACTTTCATCCGAGAGGGGCTTGTTGCAATACTGGAAGGTAGTAAAGAAACGACGGATTTCGTCGTTTGAGCTCTGAGGATCCACTCAGGTTGCTACTAGCGTGTCGGTGGCGTTACATCCTTCCATATCCGTAACAAGGGGGAATAGGGGAGTAACCCCCCCCACCTTTTCAGGGGCTATATATACGGGCCTTATGCCTCTTCAAATCAACACAGAACTGCTTCTTCACAACCTGACAGATCCTTTAGACTTTTCGGTATTGCTCTTCGAAGAGCCGATATTGCGCAACTCGCGTCTTTGCGCGACAGCTCGACAAGGTCGTTGAGATGCTTCACTCGTGACTGAAGCCGTGAGCGATGATTAAGAAGATACGAAGTTGGAATTACTTCGTCGGATGGACCGATGATGGCTGCTATCTCTTCAATTTTCTTGCAGATTGCCGCTTGTTGCTGTTTGGTAGTAATAAGTCAGCCCAAGGCTAACAAGGCATTGCCGGAACCGTACTTCTTTATCGAGGGAAGCCATAATGCGGAGACTGAAGGGGACGAGTAATGGTTGGAATATGCGATGCGACGCATCAGACTTTGCCAAGTTCCACGCAGGACGCCGTCAGCTCGGTTAGTCTTACTCGACTTAACCCGCCGCCCCATTCAGACTGACCCAAAATACGAACTCCAGACCTCGACGAGCTTGGAGTTCGTATATTGGGTTAGACCAGCTCAGATCCCGTGTCGGAAGTGTGCCGGCAGCTCCGTGCCGCCACGGATATCCGATGCAAGGATAGCGCCGAGGGACTAACGGGTCACGCATCTCTCTTTTCGTCATACACTAGGAGGTAGATGAGACTACACAATGCCTGCAGCTGCCTCTGAGGGTCCTTGCACTTCACCGAGGCCTGGAAGCTTCGACGGCTCAATGAATCCAGAAAAATGCTTTGGATGGGAGAGCCAGGAACGCCTCAATAAATCCCATGGATGGTCAAGGCGCCGTAGGAGAGGATTGACGTTTGATGATATATAGAGCTGGTTATGCCCGGCTAGGCTGAGGATGCACGTCTGCCTTCTGCTGGTTATTTTGAGGCTGCAGCTTTCGTTGTCTCCTTCGTCTCTACACCGTTTTTCTGCCTTGCATTGCCTGCAGCTGGTCTAATGGCTGAAATCCTCTCCTGTTTCGGTCTAGGTTCTTTAGGCTGTTGCTGGTCAGATGTTCTCACGTCAGTTCGTTTTCAGGAAAGTGAATCTCACTTATTGCTTTCTCCTGCACCATCTGGCCCCCCACCCATCACAAACCAAGATCGTCATTTTCCAAGCAATGAGGTCAGCTATGTACTTCTTTACATGGCCTGGACACAAGTGCGCCAAGGCCATTACCACTCCTTGAAGCCATCGGATTCCTATTGGACCACCTTTTGGGATGCCATTTGCGGCGACGTTATCAATCTCCCGGAAGATGTTGAGAGAGGCGCGCGTATTGAGTTAGCCGGCGTAAGTGGGAATGCCACTTTACTTTGCACAACTAATATTCTGCATCTAGATTCTTGCTAGATACCCGTTAGTTAAACGAGATCAAGCGCATGCTTGACACCTGCATCTTGAAAGCATTGGACACTACTTTCGAATGTGCCTTCGAACCGCCTCTTCCCCATCTTCGTCCGTCAATGCGGATGATGTCTGACATGGTCAATAATACATTTGCCGAGCTCGATGACTCGCAAAAAGGCACGGTTGCTTATGTATACTATGTTTCGCGATGTCGCTCTCCAGCTCTAGCACCACAACAACAGAACAGGGCGATGTATTATGCGCTGATGTCAACGGTAAATATACAGAGTTCAAGACTTAGGCAGCTGCTAAAAGATTACAGGGTTGGTTCGCCGCAGCTCTTAACAAGAAGTGTGAGAAGTATGTTCGACCCCCGATCCAGGAGCCGCCGAAAGCAAAACAAAAAGAAATTCCAATGCCTAGAGATGGGATCAGAAGACCAGCAAGGAGTGTCCCCGAATCGAAATTGACTACGTACAAGCTCGTGGTGCTCGGGGACGGTGGCGTCGGGAAGACAGCTTTGACTATCCAGGTGGGCCCTTCCACTCCTCACCTGTCAAATGTCAACCACTAACTGTATTCCTAGCTATGTCTGAATCACTTCGTCGAAACCTACGACCCGACCATCGAGGACTCATATCCCAAGCAAGTGCAGATTGATCAACAGTCATGTATGCTGGAAGTGCTTGATACCGCAGGTTAAGAAGAATACATTGCGCTGCGAGACCAGTGGATACGAGACGGCGAGGGCTTCGTGCTGGTATACAGCATCTCGTCCCGGTCGTCCTTTGCCCGCGTTCAAGATTTTCACCGGCAAATCCAACGGGTCAAGGAATCATCACTATCCGGATCTCCAACATACCCTAGCTCGCCGCTGAGTACATCATCGAATGGGTCTGGTTTTGGCCTAGCGCCCATCATGCTGGTGGGCAACAAATGCGACAGGGAGACAGAGCGCGAAGTGTCGACACAGGAAGGAAGTGCACTTGCCCGGGAGCTGGGATGCAACTTTTTGGAGACTTCTGCGAAGAATTGCGTGAATGTTGAGAAGGCCTTTTACGACGTCGTCCGGCAGCTGAGGCGGCAACGACAACAGTATCCGGCGGCAAACGAAGCGGCATCAGCAAACAATACCAACACAACGTCCAGGGACTATTTTTCTTGCGTTATTATGTAGGGTCTGCGACAGCTCGTTGTTGTACAGAGTACGTGAGACGTGTCCACTTCACCGTCTTCCTTTGCAGGTATTGGCCTCAAATATAGACTTGATCCTCATACACTCCACAAATCAAGCGTTTCTTCTCACTCGTGCATGATCATCAGTCTTACGGTTGTGAGTGCCTGGCTGCAGCAAAAATCTTACGAATAGTAATTTCTCATCGTCAACAGCATACACCATGGCTGTCCCGGAACTAATAACCCGCCCCGACATCAACTACATCACTATTAACAGCATGATAACATTGTATTGGACCTGAATTTTGCATACTCCGTACACTGCTTCCACCTAATCTACGGAGTTTGTGCAGAAGTTGTGCAAGCCTCTTATTTCCGCGACAGAGTGGCCTAGACCACGAAGCTAGTATCTAGATCGCTAATTTACAGGCCGAAAGGAGCGGAGAGGTCTGTACAGCGAGCAGCAATTATGGCATCAGTAGGAATGCAAGAGTGTGTGGGGGTGCCCGCTCTAACTACACATATATATTAAGCTGAACCCACTACCTTTAATACTCTTGCTAAATCTTCAGGTCAAAGATTTCATAATGCCACCCACAAAACAGCATTTGTATAAATTTGAAAACCCACATGTCAAACATATACCGGGAGGCCCTTGTGCAAAGTGTCGATACGTTGGCGATGCGTACCCCAATGGGCTGGGAGATCCGACGGACAACCTAATTCGCGGCTTTCACATTCCTCCACAAGAAACTCAACCTGGCCGGAAAAAGGGGTAGAGGTACTGCAAAGACTGGATAATCTTTTTATGCAAAGACTAACATTGACAGGGTCTTAGATTTGCAACGAATTCAGACTCATAATTCAGGGGCCGGGCTCGTTCTTCCTCTATTGGCGTCCGGATAATGGGAGATTTCATTGCACAGATATGAAATGCTAAAGACCTGTCTGTATCTAGTTTAATGTTGGAGTTAAAGGGCTTCCTAGCACAGTTATAATACTGCACGGTGACTAGACTGGGAATGTCGACGCACTAGCCACCTTTTTTTAAATCGCACTCAGCACGCTTCCAACAAGGGAGACAACGCCTCATACCTAATTAATTTGCTTGCTTCTCCGGAGCGTGAACCGCGCCACCACCTCAGCAGCGATGCAACCCATGTTCGATCTCCCCATTCTGGCGCGCCGGCACCAGATTTGCGCATTCCGGACTTGAAAGATCGTCAGCCACTTCAACCCCTCTATTGCGGACCCCTGGTGATTCTCAGATGCCAGGAACGCCTGTGCATTGCAGGATTCCCTTTCCCATGACATGCTAAGCAGGTTGAAGAGCCAAGACTTGGACGATTCAGGGAAGCTGAAGGTGCGGCACGGAGAGCGATGATTGCTTTTCGCGGCCGAAGAACCCTGCTCGTCCTTCTTCTGTCGTATCGGAAGCTGACTTGGGGTCCTGGTACGCTTCCTGCAATTCAGATCCGGATCAGCACGGCTAGTCTATGCCTCCTTGAGTCCTCTTCCAGACATGGGAGCTGCCAGCAGAGCTCCCGTATGGCGCGAAGGCTGTGCTGGCAGGCTTACGATTCCCGGTCCGTCTGCCTTCTTGCAGCATGACTGGTCACTCAGGATGCCTGACGTGCGATTGAGACATCCCAGGGCTCTGGTAGGAGGACTGCACGCCTAGTCAAATGAGTAGCTATCTGCTGTGCCGTTCACTGTTTGGATGCTTTGACCAAGTATAAGAATCGGCGCCCATTTTGGCTGCCGGGAAGCACCGTCGAAAGAGGACTCCTCTGCTGATATCGTCTGCTTTCTCAGTCCACAATTATCGTCTTGGCTCGCAGAGCAACCCGAAATCAACCCACAATGCCTCCCGGAAGAAGGGCCTACCCACCCAGGAGCGCGACGAAGGACGAGTTTCTTTCTTATCTTGGGCTAAATGACGTCGACTCTGCGCACAAGGCGCTCTACCAAAGCATGCTGGCACGTAAAGGTTCCACGCTTCTTTGACTTTGCTGATTCGAATCGGGGACGCAGGCCGAAACATCTGCTGGCAGAGATCGAGTGAGCGGGGACCCAAATCACCTCTATCCCACGGACAGGCCCATCCGACCCCCGTACTCGATGGACAAGATGATGGAGAAGGCGATACACCAGGAGGTGATAAACTTCTGGAAGTTCGCTTCTGGTGAGACTCATAAATATTACGATTTCGGGTCTGTCCGTGACCCGGACAACTGGGTCATTCGTTGGTCCCTCTGGCATGTCTTCCGTTACGGTAGTAGCAACAAGAGACGTCCAAGCCCTGATGAGGAGGAGCCGAGGGATCCGTTTGTGCGATGCGTCTACTGGGACCCTATCAGAGAGGCCATGTCCTTGTCTTGACACAATGCTTGCTATGGCTAGAAGTGGCACCGGAATAGCTTAAGTCGCAGTATACTCAACCTGAACTAATCTTAGGGCGTGACGTCGTAGCCCTGCCCATGGTCCTGTCTCCCTTGCTCTTATGCGGCTGCGGTGCAATTGAAATACCACGTCGAAGCAATCGCGCAGATAAGGAAATTTAGGAGACCAGTCAGCACGCAGTGTAATCCAGCTTTCTATTCCACCGGATTACACTCTTCGACGAAGCCGAGGAGGTGGTCGCTTGCTGTGGGTCCAGTGAGGGTTTGGCAAATTTGTCACGTTAGACACCATGACGGCGGGGAAGGATAGCGGCGGCAGTGGCATACTTCACAACGTTCCCACAACTTGGCTACCGCAGCTGGCAGCTCGACCCCATACTCGTGCGCATTCCGCCTGCTGCCGATGACGCCGATGGGCGGGTCGAGATGTTGGAGATGCTGGAGATGCTCGCGCTTGAGAATGGGGCACAGGGGCCACGCTTTGATGGCGACGAACGGCTGCGGCTGCGCCAGGTCGCGGAGGATATGGTGGATGGGCAGGCAGGACGGGGCCAGGCAGTTTCAGGTGAGGCTGCGCCGGCTCCTCAACCGCAGGACCGGCGTTGGGCTCAATGAGCCAGACTTCTTCAGGTGTTGTTGCTGGGCGCATAGGCAGGTCGGCGGGTGCCTTCAACGCCGTGAGCCCCGCAACAGCCTCGCAAGGGAAAATGACCGATTTCGCAATCACAGTCGAACCTTCTAACCGCTTCAAGGAAGCATTCAACACACAATTTCGCGTAAGGACGACCAAGTCCGTTAATCACACCCTTCACGAACCACTAACACACTCCCCGATTGGAGTCAGCGTTGAGACGAAGCGCACAGGAGAGAAGTGGAACGAGGCGGTGTACCAGCTGGAGATATGGACTGCTGCACAGTTTAGCAAGCTTGAGGAGCTGATGGAGGAGGTGAGGGAGATAAGAGGCGAACAGGAGACGGGCGGCACAGACGCGAATGGTCCGCGGACAAGCCCTGTCTTCCCACGCCCATGCAACTAATTTGAAGTCGACCACCGTAAACCGCGTCCGACACCGCTGCCGAGGCCTGGAAATAACGGAGATTTGATAGTGACGGTCTGCATGTGAAAACGAGCGACGTATAGTATGATAGCAGCCAAAGAGTGCGATATATGGGCAAAGCATCTCGGAACCAGAGATCGAGTCCTGCGCTGGCTATCAAGGAAGTGTAGAAGTGAGCGTGGGTAGCGCCTCGCTTCTTTCCACTTCATTGCCTCGTTTGCCTTACCTTCCGTGTGAGGGGCTAGGCTGTGGATAGGTGCATCGGAAACGCCGAGAGAAGATAGGTGCTGAGGTTAACTCATGCACATCAACAAGAGCAGCCATAACTCTTTTCATTCAATTGGGCCCCGGAGACTCTCCAATCGATTAGGAGAACATTGCATGGCCAAGCACCTCTGGGAGTGCATGTCGCTAGGCAATCCTCAACATTGGAATACAAATGGAGCCCGCGCTCAAGGAAACTCTCATCCAACAACCGTCTAACAGCAAACAAAGTACGTTTCAATCCATTCAGTTGACATGATAGAATACCAAAAATCTTTACTCACTTCCCTTTGTAGCAAGTGCATGAAGACACATTATTCTACTTAACATCACAACTTCTCAATTGTCAACATGTGCGAACGTCACGTCAACACCACCACCTACACTTGCGGTCATTCGAAGACCACCTACACAATCGAACGAAGTGGAGGCTGTGCAGGAGCGGGTGCCAATGTCCCAGATAAACATATGGGATCGACCAAAGCCCGCAGACCTTGTGATGACTGTCTTGCATGAGCAATGAATTACCTAGGTAATGTCAGTAAAGCCTACCTTTGAATTGACTGGGCAACTAACAGGAGGGGCAGAAACGGACTTCCATGTAGGCATTTAAGAGACGGGGTTCTCTTGATATGTGTTTCATGAAACTTTGAGACTAGTGTAACCTTGTTATGTAATTAGATAGTTTCTACGTAAATCGACTCGTTTAGTTTCTATAGTGTACCACCAGTGCGTGAATTTCAAACAGGTGTGCATTTACAAAATATCTTTAAATCTTGAATCCTCCGCCTCCGGTCGGAATATCACGACAGTCTGATCCTGTAGGAGGTGCACATGGCATCTTGGCGGGAGATGTTTGCGGCCGCGAACCAGTCGGGCACTAGTCCAGTCCCGGGAGCCGTATCGTCAGTCACGCAACGTTCTCGACGGTGCCGCCAGTAATGTCTCGATCGCCAGATTGGTTAGAGACTCCACAATGATACCATGGGTCTGAGCATGCGTCCGAACGTACTGTCGGCAGCGAACCAAAGTGATGGGGGTGACGAGTGGGTTAATTACATGTGTTGTACATAGTTTGTGAGGCGGTCTTGTACTTGGATGTGATATTTCTGATCACGTGAGGTAAGAATTTGGAGGACAGTAGATGTCGATTCTATGTAGGAATCTAGCTAGCCTATATACCTGTAGGAGAGACCCGTGCAAGCCTAATATATGCTAGATCTACTGTAACAAGCATGCCTACAGTAGATCCATACATCACGTGCCCTTACATCACGTGCACGACGGCCGAATAGCAACCGAATATCGAGAATTCCACATGGATTCTGGCGTTTTTGTTGAGGTTCGGATGGCTGATTACTAACGAACTTTCTTGGCACGCAGGTGTCACAATCCTCCATCATAATCGAGAGCTGGAACCCAAACATAACTCAAAATCCATCAGACTTTCTACTTTGACTAAAATTAGCTTACTACCTATCATTACCGTTGGCAGCCGTTTATCAAGTCCAATTATCGATACCGCTCGTTCTCGACTTATATTCGTCATGTCCGAGGCTCTGGCCACTTTCTCTGATGGGACGGCTGTGCCGATGGACGGGAAGTTCCATGTCGATCCATCTTGTCCGCACTCAAGTGTGAAATATCTCGAGTCATGGCATCCTCCTGGGGTATTAGAAGTGCTATCCGGTGGCAATACAGCACGATTAGGTTTACTCCCGGACGGAACAATTCTCAAATATGTCTATGATAGAGACAATCGCTGGGCGATGAAGGGCCTGGAAATCGAGCATCATATCCTTATAGCGTTGGGAAACCACGAAAGGATAGTTAAGTACTTTGGTCAGCATGAATATGGCCTTAGGTTTCAATTCGAGGTCAATGGCGACATTTACCGCTACTTTTCCGAGACGGACTTCCAAACCATTTCCATCCAGCAACGAGAGAAATGGGTAAGACAAGCAGCAGAGAGTGTTGCAATCATCCACTTAAAAGGCATTATCCACTGCGATATTCACCCTAAAAATTTTCTTCTCGACGATAAGCTTAACATTCGACTCTGCGACTTTGCCGGCTCCCTGTTTGGCGAACTAGATGGAAAGGCAATGGAGAGCACACCCTTCTTCCTTCCGAGAGATCCTCTCTCTACACCAAATGCGAAGTCGGACCTTTTCGCGTTGGGATCCGTTATGTATTACATCATGGCCGGCCGTGAGCCGTATGATGGCTTGTCAGAGGATGATATAACTGCCCGCTATACTCGAGGGGAGTTTCCAGATGTGGTTGAGTTTGGATGTGGCCGGACCATTAGTGGTTGTTGGACTGGGCTATTCAATAGTGCTCAAGAGGTGGTAGTGAGTCTCTCAGAGAAATCTGTCGGGGAAGTGTAGAGGACGTCCACTGCATAAATGGCGACTCTTATTCAGGATATGGCTTTAGTAAGCAGAAGTCTCTCCACTGAAATCGAATATCAGACGTCGCCATGGCTTGCGGATGCGAACGACGCATCGTCCGCAGGATATATCAGAATTGTACCGAAACTCCGAAGTATGTGACTCAAGACGTCGCACCTTGTGCAATGTCAGTGAAGGCCTGAATGGACTTCTTTTTGATGCCGGCCAGCTACTCGGGTATCCGGCCAGGCTCGATTTGGCTTACTGCATGGGCGACATGTGTGAAAGCTGTGCGTGGTTTGATCTTGCGTACAAAATGCTGGAGCCTAGTTATTGAAAGTTCGCACCCATTGCGGCATGGCTGAGACCGTGTGGGTCATCCTACCCACGCAAAGTTCGACGTCGCCGGCCCATCCTCAGCGTCTAGTTCGTCAGCATCTGCTCCTCATCGAGAAGAACTGCACAAGTTGAGTAGAGTTTGGGCGTGTTGGAGTGTCCGGATGTATCTCCATTCGTGAGTATGCATAGCGATCACTGCGCTTGTAGTATATGCCTGAGTTCTTATCAGTTGCGTTTCTCACTCAGTCAAATTTCTAAATCCCACCAACGAGCGTGGCGAGTCGAAGGGACTGAGCGTGAAGCGTATGCGATGCTGTACCAAGCAAGGATCATGATCAAAGCAGCGCGGGAGCATGTTGAAAGGTTGGAATGGTTAAGGAGGCGAGAATTATAGCCAAAGAAACACGGGAGTATGAACAGATTTAACAAAGAAAGTTTGTATGAGTCAATACGTCCCACTAGGATAAACCAGATATTTTTTTGGTTCGAGCCATCTATCAAATGATGGGTGAATTGTCCATCCCTGCAGCGAGAAAATTCCCTCGTCTATGGGCTCGTATGGCTCGGTCAACTTTCTGCGAATCCACCTCCTTAATGTCCTCTTTCATATCCTCCTCGTCGGAGCTGAGGCCGGATGGCTTCATCGAAAGATCTAGGAACGAGCGCGGAGCAAACCGACAACGTTCCACGCCAAGCCTACGTCAGAGCGTGCGGCCACCACACCTCAACCGTGAGAATGCGGCACCCTGCCACATTCACTGCGACACCACCAACTCCACCGCGCCGCACCCTCGCGCCGCACCGATATCTCCAGCTGAGTGGCACGGCGGCAAGCAGCAGGCACAGCGGCAAGGATTTCCCATCAGACTGCATTATTGGTTGAACCCTTCCAGAGGCCCTGACTCGTCTGTCGCAGAACTAGCGGCGCCAACCCCCGTACGTGTCGCAGGATGTGGTGAGCGGCGCACTAGAAAGGCGCTGCTCCCCGCCTCTCGAGCAGACGCCCCGTCTTGTTCACAATTACCAGATGCTTGAACCACAACTCTCAGGTTCACGCAAACGTCAACGCTCAGAGCGGCCTCAACCGAACGGAATATCGCAATCGGCGTCGAAAAAGCAGAGGCTCAGCCATCCCAGCGGATCCCAACCACCGGCGGCATTTTGGGATAACTTATCGAAGATCTGGTTGACGAAACGAGCGTTGAGAGAGCAAGACCGAAGAAACCCTCAAGTCGTCGGACTTCATGCGAGAGAAGAGCCGTCGATCCTCCCTTAACCATCGCTTTCCATCTATGAAGACCACTTTCCATAGCTCTTTCATGCACGGGAAATGAGAAAATATATCAAACGTATGCATTCCGAAGCTAAAATGCTAAACACGATCACAAGCGGTAACCGAAGTCTCGTGCTTTTGCTCTGACGCGCTTTTAATTATAATCGGGATCGTTGTCCGCTATGCGCTTCGCTGCTCTCTCCTCTTGCTTAGCATACCTCGCTTCATCACTAGAAGTGATTTGGTCTGGAGGCGTCTCCGATTTTTTACGCTTTTTGAGTCCAGGAGCAATTGAATGCTCGCCAAGTGATTCCAAGGGTTCTACCATAGTCTCCGCCGCACCAAGGTATTCGCAGAGTTGTCGAGTAGAGACAACCAGTTCTCGATCTTCATCTCCAATCTCGTTGTGTGCAAGTTCTTCATAAGCAAAGTCTCTCAGCTGAAGCCGTAGGCCTGGATGAGCAGTAGGGGTTCCGTGATCGTCGCGGAACGCCTGCGAAGGGTGTCAGCGTAAAGAAAGAGTAGTGTCCTGGAACGAGGCATACATTATCCGCTACTTCTTGAACAACTCTTAACTCGTTCCCGTCAATAGTACTGACTACATGAGTTCGCCACACTGACAACGTTGCCTTCCGTGAATCCTTATTGCCATATTCGATGTTCAGGCCAACAACAACTTGCACGCTAGAATTAGAATCGAGAAGATAATCTTCAGCTAGCCGGCCCAACCTCTTCCTCTTCTGCGAATATGCGACTTCGATAATAACCCCAGGGTATCGTGCCTCTTTATGCCAGAAAGAAGCATCCGGCTCATGTCTTGAATTTGTGTTAGTCGGAGACCCATCCCCGGGAAAGTAGATCTCAGTAGAACGGGCTGCGCGAACCTTCTGCGCGAAGCGGGCCGCCCTGTCTGACCCGCTGCGAATGGCTTTCAGCTGGCTACGGATTGCGTCCTCAACTCCGTCAATGAAGAGTTCATGTACTCCGGTCGGCATGCGAACGACAAGCCGATCGCTTTCTCCGCTGTAATCATATCTGCCCGATCTCTGTCGTTAGCCGCCGTATCCATCATTCCTTGAGTACACGCACCGTATCTTGTCTTTTAAATATCCCGACAGCGGCTCGTCTCGGCGAAGCTGACGCTCTATCTCATCGTACTCTCCTCGTGCAAGCTGAAATTCTATCCACGGGTGTTGCTTGATGTGCTTTCCGGCTCGGATGTCTTTGAAAAGTGCGATAACTCGGTGGGCCTGCGGAAAGGGCTTCTCGTCGGTCGGCGGAGGCGTCAAAGGCGGGTCTGCGAGACTCGAAGGCGGCGTGATGTGTTGATGGTGTGCTAAAGGAGTTTGCGACGTAGACATAGCCGTACATTGCGCTGCATCGCGAAGTTGCACGATGGCTGGTGCGAGATTGATCACGGTTGAGATACTGGGCATTTTTGTTGACTCAGCAACTGATCTGCCAAGGCCGAGGATGCACCAATGGCGGAGGGCTACAGCACTAATCCTGAAAAGTCATCAACCATTTGCAGTATGCGCCCACCGCATGCTACCAAGTGGCAACAACGTCCATCCCAAACTCTGCTTCTATCGAGGTCAGAAAAATGACGCCTCTCGCGCAAACCCTATAGCCGGAACGGGTCGGCCGCCCTCCCTGCTTATGGTGGCAATGCCTAGTTGCCTAGTGCCAAATCACTTTTATCACAATTACATGAACACATGCATTCGGATTAGCGATAACACAGTGCATCTTGTGGGGGGCTTGCACCTCTCATTTCCGCTTCAAGGCCAGCAGCAACCGCCGTGCTACCGTCGAAGCCTTCTACCGCATTGCTCCTTCCTCAAACTACTGAGACTGGTATGCGTATCGCATTATCCCTTAACCCGTCGGGGTGCAACGCTCGGGCCAGTTTTCAGGCCCGTGCAGCAACACCGTGCTGAGGTGTGCAGGAGGCATCAACAGAGCTGTAAATAGTCGAATTAGCTAGTTCCCTGAGCCCAAATCAATGCAACAGAATGCCGCGAACATCAAATGACATCGATTATGTGAAATGGAAGGATCCACGCACCAAAACGTCCAAAAAGCCGCCGCCAGAGCCCTGGCCTCTGCCTCAATTCACTCCCCCTTCGAATAGACGACTATTACCACCCCGGCGAAGCTGCTGTCCCCCTCGGCACTGATAGACGCGATCCTATGGCCCTTTTTGGCTTGTTTTTCGACGATGAAATGCTAGATCGGATGACCGCGTGGACAAATCAATATGCAGAGGCGCACCTGGCGTTGGAGGAGGACGCCCCTGAGGGCAAGGCAAGGCCATGGCTGCCTACGTGTAGGCAGGAGCTGTACGCCTACTTTAGAGTCGTGATTCACATGGGAATCACCGTGGAGCCGGCCATAGAGGACTATTGGGGGCCGCTTGAAAAGGGAGCTGCTCACAAGGTGGGCGACTATATATCGAAGACGCGATGGGAGCAGCTTGAGCGCTATATTCGATGCTCTCCTGTGCCTCAGGACGGCTTTCACAGTACATTTAACCGCGTAGATAAGCTCTCGGAGCATCTGCGAGTACGCTGCCGGCGGTACTGGCGCCCAGGCCCGCACCTAGCTGTCGATGAGACCATACAGAGGTTCATGGGCAGAGCGCCGGAAATTGTCAATATTCCATTAAAACCTACACCAGAAGGCTTCAAGATATGGGTCTTGGCGAATCAGGGCTATGTTCTCGACTGGCTATGGCATGCCAAAGGCGACAAGAAGGGGCCTGTAGACCTGGATACATCCTTCCTGGATAAAGGCTTTACAAAGACGCAAGCCGTTGTCCTTGATCTGCTTACTCAATGTCGCCCAGGCACGCAGGAGCGCCTATATCCGCCGGACAAGCACGTAGTTTGGCTGGACAATCTCTTCAGCAGTGTGAAGCTCTTTGAACGGCTGAGATCTCTTGGAATTGGAGCTGCCGGCACGGTCAGAACTACACGCACAAAACGAGAGGAGCTTGGAGAGGAGGAACACGACGTGGAGGTCCTCACAGCCGATCAAAAGGCCTCTAATAAGGCCTCAAAAAGGAGGACCAAGGCCAAAAGAACAGTGCCAGCTGAGCGCTTCTCAGCATCACTTACAGACCTTAAATTAAGCCACGATAAGCAAATTCCATGGGGCCAGCTATACGGAGAGTTATCTAGGAGTCATAAGGTAATGGAGTTTGCCTGGAAGGACGCCACGGTGGTTCTATTCCTGTCTACAATTCATGATGGTACGTACATCGTCCTCAACACTATACCGCAGAGCCGCTGACGTCATACATCGCCAGGTCAAAACTACATCGCGAAGCTACGAAAACGACCCTCTACAATGTCCACAGGCTACAGGCAAACAGCGAAGGTGTTCGGCGATAAGGCTAGGAAGGAATTGGATATACCAGACTTCATAGAGGAGTACAATCTCTTCATGTGCGGCGTCGACGTGGCCGACCAATTAAGGTCCTACTACAACACCGAGAGGACTCATAGGAAGACGTGGAAGCCTCTATTCTCTTTCCTATTAGATACAGTAGTTGGCAATTGTTACCAGCTGTCCACCTACAGGATAGTGGGTGAGCGAACTCTACGCCAACATTCGCATGCCCAATTCCGCCGCAACCTACGCGATGCCCTCCTC